GAAATTATAGTGGAAAGGTCCTTGCCTTAGAACTTCGTTGAGATCCTCCTCTGTAGTAAAATTCAACAGGAATTTTCCGTTACCCAAGTCATTCGCTGTGATTCGATTCTGCATACCCCACTGCGTAGGCATATAGTTGATCAATTTTTCAACATTCTGCTTTCTCGGATTCAGTATCTTGCCAATCAAGGAGAGTTTGAACTCCTCAATCACTTGAGTATTCTCATCAGCCACTAGCTGAAACGGCTCTTCCTCATCCATCGTCATGATCCCCTTGCCTTTATGATTACCCAACGTATCATGATTCCCAGCAAACGGACCCATTACGCTTCGACCAATAGCACAACACTGAAGAATCTCTACCTACTCTGTTTTCATACGGAAAAACAGAGTACGCGAGCAGAGATATATAAATAGCAACAGATCGTGGTGTGGAGGTCAATGGATCCTAACACATCAAGGATCAACAACCGACAGATCAAAAACTGACGGATTAGCAACTTCAGCCATAAGATTGTTGAAGAAGTAACCGCTGTGAACAGTCCAAGCTTAAAGGAAAGGCGATGGGTGGTGAGCAGAGAGGATGAGAGAGTGTCAAGGATCGTTCGATTAAACCCACGTCTAGGGACGATGAGATACAAAAACGATCTAAACTCCAAGATCGCGTGCGTGACAAGATCAAAGGATCGAGTACGAAATTGATTTGCACCACACCAAGGAGTGATGGTGAAACAAACCAATCTGCCGTCAAAGCTTGCACTGGTTACCAACGCCAACGGACATGGTGGGAGAGGAGAGCTCGAAAAATCAATGGAAATCGAGGTTGATGATCAAGGTTTCGGAGATCGCCATGGTTGTCGCCAGATAGCGGCTAGGGTTATTGGTTTAATTGGTCTGAAGATGTTATAAGAATTGCAGTTTTCTATTGGATACCCGCCATTTATTGATGTGTATGGTTTTATATTGGAGACCCGCCATTTATTGATTTAATTGGTCTGAAGATGTTATAAGAATTGCAGTTTTCTTTTCAGCCAAATGGCTGCATAGATAATTAATATCATTAAAACAAGATCATTCCTTTTAATGAATGATTTTTATTTTCCTAAATTACCCTTAATTTAGTATTATCTTAAGTTGGGAATATGGCTTCGCGTTGATCTATCTGTTTTAGATCTGATTTACCTGCCTTCGAAACCTAGGAAGGTACTTAAAATTATTTTCAATTCATAATGTCTATGTAACATGTTTCTCAAAAAAAAAATTTCTATGTAACATTGAAATGCAACAAAGTCTCACATTTATGTCTCCTGTTCAGTAAATGCTCCCATATTGTTATTATTTATTTATGTCAAGTTTTATAATTTTAATTTGCCAGTTTTACTAAAGCTTCCCACATTTTTTATTTCGCACTTCTATATTTTTTATAGAGAAATAATGGACTTCACCCGAATCTACTATGCTATCAATATTTTTAAAGTTGTTATAGCCCCATTCTCTTACTTACTACCTTCTCTAAAATTGCATCAGTGTCACATTAATGAAAAAAGCTTCATGTTCCTTCTCAGTACTCTTTAGAATGCAACACCCCTTTAAATAGTCTCCGTAATCCGAATCTACATATAATTATCAGCATAGCTCAAAATCTTTTCATCACCCAAAATATTATATTCATTTAAAATGATATCTATTTTGTTTATATTGGCCTGACACTCCCTGACAATGAGTGTTGGTATGTTCTTACATTTTGCTTCTCCGACTTGGATCCAGTGCAAACCCTTCGTATAATATACTTCTTCCTCTTTCAATTTCTTTTTCATCGATCATTTTCTCTCTCTTTATATCTAGGCAGAACTGTACATTACATATACAGAACGTGGCAATGAAAGTGCATCTTATTTCATACTTGACCATTTTATTTTCCTTCTCTTCTGTTTTTTCTAGACTTTGTCGCCCATCCTCCACCTTTCTACCACCATTTTACAAATTGTTATCCTTTTGTTTTTTTTCGCATCGATTCATAGTTATTGTGTGATTCCATTGGTCAAACATTGCTAATACAATCTTCTCAGAAGACATTAAGATTGCGCCAGTCCTAAGACCATACTTGTTGACAAATGGTAAGTCCTAAACAAATTCTACCTCCCATATATCTTATAGAGGTGCAATGATAGTTGAACCTAATAATTGTACTGAGTTTTATATCTTTGTGTCTTTCCATGATGTCTCTAGTTCCACTTCTGTAGCTATCAGCTGTCTCCTCTCAAAGATAAATTCTTCTTTTGCCACATTAGAAAAAAGAAAATCGTGCTTTGGTTTGCATATCTCAAAAGATCAATGACTGGCTTTCTTGCTCATGATATGTAAGGGGCGGACGCGGATCGGATATCCAGATTTTTCAAGGTATTTGTGATTTGCTTCGAATGCTACGAATATCTAATTTTGGTATTTGTTTTGCTTCGGAAAAATACTGATATCCGGAAAAACGGATATCCGGAAAACAAATAGATATTTGCGGATATTTACGAATATTTAAGGATATCTAATCCATTTTGATTAATACAAATAATCTTAAAATTTTGATATAAATTTTCTTTGTAAAAATCTTTTTTTGCATGATATATTAAATAAAAATTCAAAAAATTAGTGAATTTACACATTTTGTAATTTTTGAAGTTTAAGTTGCAATTATAACAACACAAAAGTTAAGAACAAAAAATATAATTGTCATAATTTTTTATGTAATACATTTATATAAGTAATAATGTGAATAGAATTGTTCAAAATCATGTGTTAGAATAATAATTATATAGTTTTATACATTTAAAATTTTAAATATAATCAATATTTACATATATTTATATATTTCCAGATCAGATCGGATATCCGCTTCCCAAAATTTTATTATTTGTGATTTGCTTTGATTTTAACGGATATTGATTTTTAGTATTTGCTGATTCGCAAGTTTACGGATATCCAAAATTTTCGGATCGAATCCAAACGAATAACGAATCGAATCAAATTTAACGGATAAAATGTCCAGCCATATATGTAATATATTAGGAATTCAATTACTTAATTAAACATGCAATATGGTTGTCTCGAGACATGATTTTCGTAGCTTAGAATCATTCTTACAAAATCATTCAGATTTTTTTCTATACTTGAACCGTGAAATTAACCCGAAATTGATCACTACAGACACCATAATTGTTTGATTCGTAGTGAACCAGAAGCCATTATACAAGAATTCACCAGCAACAAAAAAAATGCTCAAATTTGTTACAACATGAGAAAAGAGCAACACATCTATGAAATTAAAGGTGAGCAGTGAATCTAATTCTCATGGTTGTGTTCTTCAACGTAAGCGACAAATCCTTTCTCCATGTGTTTTTGTCATCTTAGTTTAAGATGACCCTGAGAGCCTGTCCTGTTATTTTGGACGGCCTATACAAAATACCAATATTTATCAATTATTTATATTTTTACAAATTTATAAATAATTTTTTGCATTAATACGAATGGTATAAAATTTTTGTATCATAACAAGATAAATATTTGTGAATTTATTTTGTGAAAGACATATCTGCATATTTTACATAGAATATATTTTGTGATATCTTTGATCAGATTTTCAGATAAATATTTGTGAATTTTTTATTCATTAATGTAGTTAGCCTGTAAAAAATGAAATTACTCTATAAATGAAGTAATAATTTTATTTTTTATCCGTTACTCTGTTTTCCATTTTTCAAATTGGAGTAGAATAAAAAATTCAACTATATTTTAGAGTTATTCTATTTTGAAGTAAAAAATGAAATGATACGTTAGAGATATTCTTGATCTTCTCTCTTAAATATGAAATGGTGTATCAAATTTCTAAATGTATTATTTATCAAATTTCTAAATGTATTATTTGTCGTGCTACTTATACCGAAACTTTGCCACTTTACGAATAAAGGTTTATCTCCATTTGCGTTTTTTCAATTATCTTCTATACTAACTAAAATTGTGGCGTTTCTGCATTTATTTTTTACTTGATCACATACTAAGTCGATTTGTAAAATTATACAGTATAGTCTCCAAATCAGTTTTTTATTACCCTCAAAGAGACGGAAAACAATCTTCTTTAATAAATATGTATGCCCAGCCCAACTGAGAGTTTTTTGAGAGGGCTTAAAGATGATAAGCTCTTGGATCTAAAAGATTGACAACGACGTTCAGTATAGAATTTCAAAACATAGTCTAATCATGAGCTTACAATTTATGAATTTGTCACGTGTAAATACCCTTGCTTCTTTAAATAGTTACCATCATCATTGCCTTATCATCCACTCTTAGTTTACACACGTTAAATAACAATATAGGTTCTAATTATCCGATTTCTGTATGATATTTTTAGCGTAACTCTTGATATTTAAATGTAATTCAACGCTCTCTATTTTTTCGATGTTATTCAGCATAACTGTTAGGGCCTTATAATATTGTTAATCGTACCAATTGAATAAAAATGTCAAGGGGTATAAAATATATATCACCAAATTTAAATAATATATAACAATCATACATTCAAATTTTGATCCATTAAAGAATAAAAATACACATGTGCAGATGCCCAGATTATATTCTAGAAATCTTGATGATGCATTTAATGAATGAAAAAAAATATTCAATATAACTATAACATTATTGTATTTAAAATATCATATTAAACAATTACTCGCTCGACCCGAATCAATTTTTCTAGATCACTTTCATTAAAAATTAAAAAAAATTATATTTATTATTTATATGTATATAAATATAAAATTAAAAATTTAAAAGTTTTAAAAATATACAATTTTGAATTATATGTTTTCATATTCTAATCTTTTTCTCCAAAAAAACTTCGCATTTTTGCGAATTGTTTTTTTTTGAAAAATATATTATTTTTCGTTTCAAAAAATTTTATTTTCGTTTCAAAAAATTTTATTTACAAATTTTTAATATTTATTTAATATTTTAAATATTTTATATCTCTCTCCAAATCTCACATCTTAACTTTAAATAAAAAACGTCTAGGATTATATAACCCTAGAGGTATTAAAAATATATTTACATTTCAATATAATATATTTTGGTAACTTTATTCTTTGGATTAAAAATAAACTAAAAATGAACTATCTTAGAGAATTACTCTAATATAAACTATAATATTATTATATTTAAGAATATCATATTAAACAATTATTTAACAGTGATAAAATTCTAAAATATATATTTTTATGTATATAAAATAAATATTTGTTTATAAAAAGTAAAATCAAATTCTGCACGGACACGCATGTCATACTTATACTAATTAGTTCCAACATGCTTACCGTTGCAGGTACGGATTCAGCATTGCTATCACTGCTACAAACAGCAATGATCCCTGTCAAAGCTTTCTTTGGCATGTAATCGTTGCGGTGCTCTTGAATCATCATAATGTCTAGATCACCAAGCACATCATCAAAATCCCCTTCCTTAAAATTAAGACATCCACTAAAATACTCATCATCCCAGGGAACTTGTGGCTGCTGCTGAGGGCAGATGTCGTTGAGAAACGCGTCTGTATTGAATAGAGTGGGATCATCTTGGTCGTTCAGTGGGATTGCCAAATCATCCACAGACATACCGAGATGATCTTGACTTGGTTGCTCAACCTGAATATGTAAAAGAAATGGGGTTGGTTGATGGTACTAATGAAAAGCTGAAATAAATTGTCAGAAACTGGACTTACCTGAGGAGCAGTGTTAATCTCTCTGACAGTATTCAAGTCAGAGACCATGGTGTAGTGGCTTAACTCATTGGAGTTATTACCGTACAAACTATCTCCGTCAGCACCCTTGTACATTACTTGGCAGATAACATAGTTCCTCTGTAATAAAATTCCAGAAAGGTACACACATATGAGTTCTGTTCTAGCAAAACAAAGTTGAATTACTTAGTACACAAACAACTCTACAAGCTTTGACAGCAGCAACATAAAACTAGGCCTCCAAACAAGTGTTTGATGAGCTTTGCTAGAAGCAAAATAATTAACTAGACCACAGCTCACATATAGCACTTAACAACCTCAAATTGAGCTAAATATAGCAAGCATCCAACAACTAGATCAAAAACAAATTAAAAGGCCAAATACATTTTAAGAGTATTACTTGTTGATAGAATATTACTTGTTGATTACAAAACACTAAGACAAGACAACTCTATCATTCACAACCTTTGACAAAAGCAATATAAAACTATGCCACAACTTGTATAATAACACCCACACCCTCAAATTGAACTAAAGGTAGGGAAAATCAACTGGATTTGAGACAGATGAATCAAACCCCATATTGACATCAAGAAGATAAACAAAAAAAATGAAACACAAAATCTCAAATTAATCTAATAGTTGAGAGGATTTTTAAAGTTAACTAAATTATAATAGTGGAGTAGCTAGATCTAACAAATTTAATCAAACATTTTTACATAGGTTTCGATTACTTGTATATAAAATTTCATTGATTGTTATTAACTTTTAAAGTAAGAATTTAATGGCGGCATGAGTAAAGGAAAAAGAATAATTTCAATTAGGGTAATCGTTTTTTGAAAAAAAAAAATTCGTCAGAAAAAAGTTTTTGAAGTAAAAATTGTCCAAAAAGCTTTTCATTAAAGAGTTAAAAGGTCAAAAAAGTCAAAAGGTCATTCTACGTTTTACTTTATCGATATATAAATAATAACTTTTTTTAATAATTTCAAAATATAATGTTTTCAAATTCTCCTGTTTTCAAATTATATTTAGATTTTAAAATTTCATAAACGAATAACAATAGAATTTCAAAATTTATTAATTTTTCTAGCATTCTTCTACCAATAACCCCTAAGACAAGAAATAGAATTTCAAAATTTATTAATTTTTCTAGCATTCTTCTACCAATAACCCCTAAGACAAGAAGATAACTCTATCATTCAAAACCTTTGACAAAAGCAATATAAAACTATGCCACAACTTGTCTAACACCTAGACCCTCAAATTGAGCTAAAGGTAGGGAAAATCAGCTAGATCTGAGACAGATGAATCAAACCCCATATTAACATCAAGAAGATAAAGAAAAAAATGAAACACCAAATCTCAAATTAATCTATAGGTAGCAGCATCACACAGAGGAAATGAAAGCTTATCAAGGAGATCAGAGAAAGACAGAATCAAAAACCCACCAAATCGATCTCATCCAACACAGGAGAAATTATATCCAACAACTAGATCAGAGACAAATACACCAAGAACCCACTTAAAGAAGATTACTAGCTTGTTGAATACACATCACCCATATTCAGATCAAGACTATATCAGAAGCACATAAGACCAATTCAACTTAAGCTATAAACTGAATCAGAATCTCAAACCCCATATTCACATCAAGAAGACAAAAAAAAAGAAACATAAAGACCAATTCAACTAACACAGAATCTGATCAAACTGAATCTTATAGATAACTTACCTGAGTAGGAGGCAAGGAAGTGGTGTGGTACTCGTGCATGACCCAAGGAGTCCAAATACCATTAGTTGATTTACCTTCATAGTAGACAAGCGTCTTCTTGATCCCGATCACTTCACCGTGTCCTCTCTTGTCCTTGATTTTCCGGTCAACACCAGTAGCTTTCCAGAACCCTGAAGGTGTTGTCCTCTTCGTCCCCTTCTTCTTCTCAGATACGTGGTACTCCCTGGGAGTGAAGAAGTACCATACAAGATCCTTCGATTCCAGCTTCGATAACGCTGCAATAATTTTTTATTTTTTTAAAAAGTCAAAATTAGAAATGATTGATCTTTGAAGTTGAGAAAGAGAGGAGGAAGTTACAAGGCAAGATCTTTGGATCGTAGGCATAGAAGTTGATCTCGTTAATGGCTTCGTTGACGAGCCATGTTTTTTCAAGAATCTTGTTCTTTAGGTAATAGTTGATTACTTCTTCTCCCGTGGGACTAAACCTAAACCCAACTACATTCTTCTTCATTTCTACACACGATCTAGGGTTTGAGAGAAGAAGGGTTTCTTTCTATCTGTTTTTGTTTTGTTTTGTTTTGTTTCTTGAGAAGGTTGAGAAAGAGACAACCCCCGGTCATCCTTTTTTATACACAACCTCCGGCTCGCGTCTTTGGAAATAATAAAAAAATAAATAAATAAATTTAGTTTCGGTAATTTCTCAGAAGAACGTGGGCGACTTCAATCACCTCTGGCCGACTTGTAGCTTCCAAGCGCAGCTAAACCGTATTAGTTGTGTTCTTTTTATTTTAATTATTTTTTAATTTATTTTTGTTTTTTTTGTCTTAATAAAAATTTTAATTTTCACATATATTTAAAATTACAAAAAGAAATATATCAGATTTTGTTAGAAAAATAAGAAATAATGTGACTAGTGTTTTTTTTTTTGTGGTAAATATCAAAAGTTTATTACAGATTTTTTTTTTCTCTTGTTTACACTATGTTATTTTCATCTATCCAATTTATTAATTTAGAATTCTAAATTTTATCCACACAAAGATTATCATTTAAAAATTTGGACTCTTTCAGTAATTCAATCTTTTAGACGCTCGCCCATTCTTAACATATAGCCGAAAAGATACGCTGGCCGACTCTTACTATATAATTTAATACTAACCGAAAATATGAATGTAGACCTTTCATTAAACCAAACTTCGGTTTTTCTCTTGTTTACACTATTATTTTCAACTATTTACGCTAAAGATTAGCAATCATACTCTTACTCTTATCATTGCACTAGGTTTTATGGGAGTGATTATCTTTCTTCATTTTCTCTCATTACCATTGTATTTATTTCTCTGATTTACTTAAAAAGTTATTAGTCACACTCTTAATTTTTCTTCAAACGCTGCCAAAAGAAATTGAAAACCGAAAACAAAAGTCTTCTTTAACGACAACGACAAATAATAACTTATTGATTGTGCAACTGACAGATTACTGATGGTTCACTATGAAGATTTTTTTGGGAATTCCGAACATAAGGTTTAGAATGGTGACACACCATACTGTCCGCTTTACTGTTAATAATAATAAAAAAATCTCATATATATTTATATATTTTTATTATTATTTGAACTACAACGCAATTGTTTCATAATTTTTCTGCATGTTACCATTTAGATTCTAAATTATTTATTTTAAAAGGTTTCGGGCCATTCCTTTTATTTCTTTCGAAGTAGCAGAAATTTTCCTTTTTCAGGTAATAACTGCTCCCATTGACGCAACATCGACATAGCTTGATTACTTTTTGAAGATGCAAGTGGAGCTTGTAGATGTCAATGGTCTTCCGTGACTAACTAGGCGACGAAGTCACTGATGCTGGAGGCATTAGTCGTTACTACATAAGGCATGCGGAGTGGTGGGTTACCATGTGGATACAGGATATGCTGAGATGGAGAAGAATAAACTAGAGGTTTATGTCTTGACGTAGTCGTTGAAGTAGTTGCTGATGCAGCGTGTGTCAGAGAGTGAACCAGAAGGCATGCGGAGTGGTAGAGACCATGTGGATGCAAGATGCTGAGCTGGCGTGGGATAAACTTGAGGAGAAAGTTTATACCGTGGAGAAAAGGCAAGAGATAAACTTGGAGAGCAAGTTTATGCCTTGAGGAATAAGTACAAATCCAAGAAAAGGAAAGTGTACTTATTAATATGAAAGTTGTCCATATATCCATGTTGCTTTGGAGACTAGGGTTTCAGGACGTAAAGGTCACTATAAAAGAGCTATGGAGTCGTGTGTATTCCATAAGACACTGGGGCTTTTATTATAGAGGAAGGGTGAAAATCCCTTAGGGTGTTCTTGGGTCGTGCTGAAGCATACGACGATGGAGAGACAAGTTTGGGTAGATTAGGAATCTTTCAGTAGCAGCTGTTAGGGTGTTAACAGGCTGTGTAAAGCTGATAAGCAGATCTTGTAATAGATTGTTTAAAGATGATTTCTAATAAAGCATAGTGTTTGCTTGTATCTATTTTGTCTCTTGGTTTATCTTCTGCAGTACTATATTGT